CCAGGCAAGCGCTTATGCCGCTGAGCTATATCCCCAGCCCCATATCCTAATTTTGAATTTGCTTTTTTTCTTGTTGTTAGTTTGTCGCTGATGGCATCTTCAAAGCTGAACTGAATGAGTTTCTTACTCGGGAGCTGGCTGAAGATGGCTACTCTGGAGTTGAAGTCCGAGTTACACCAACCAGGACAGAAATCATTATTTTAGCCACCAGGTAAAAACTCACTTAACTAGACATCAGTTATCGTTGTTGTATGTACTAAAGTGGTTTATTCTGTGTAAACTAAAGGGGACAGACAACCAGCGAATCTGGCCTTAATGAATGTTGTTTTTTAAAGACTGTTTCAAAATTTTAGCTTCGTTCTTGTAATCTAAATTTCATACTTGATTTGTGGCAGATGGATGAGATTTTGCTACTGCCATAGAAGCAAGATTTAAAGTTGTGCCTAGGATTTTGTGATTCGTGAATTGTCACATCCTCTCATTCCAGGACACAGAATGTTCTTGGTGAGAAGGGCCGGAGGATCCGAGAATTGACTGCTGTAGTTCAGAAGAGGTTTGGCTTCCCTGAGGGCAGTGTAGAAGTAAGTGGTGTTTTGTTTTGTGAGACAGGGTCTCACTATGTAATTCAAATTGTCCTTCAATTTACAGTAATCCTCCTGCCTCTGACTCCCAAGTGCTGGGATTACAGGTTTGTGCCACCATGCTCGGATAAGTGGTCTTGGACTATGCCATATATTATTTGGGATTTGGGAATGGCTCCTTAGAATGCAGCTTCTAAAAGCTTTTGACATACCTTGGAGATTTTAATTATTTCCTCATATCAGTGAGTTACAGATGGATTGGTATTTTGCTGACGTTCTTTAAGCAGTGGGCTTCATTTTTACAAGCCTGTTCAGTTTCCGTTGTTGAGGGTTTTATGTACCATTTACATAGGACTGGTTGGCTTCCCCACTGGTGTGGCTACAGCACTATCCAGGGGGGAGAGGGCAGTGAGGAATGGGTCAGCCTGTGTCACTGTGCTGTGTAACATGCTTGTGATGATTGTGCTGTGCATTGAAAAGAGCAGTAAAGGTTAACAGATGTGCCTTGGTTTTGTTCAAGCTTTATGCTGAAAAGGTGGCAACAAGAGGTCTGTGTGCCATTGCCCAGGCCGAATCTCTGCGTTACAAACTCCTCGGAGGGCTTGCTGTGCGGAGGTAAGTGTGCTGAGACTGGGTGGTTATGCCCTTTTTTGTGTAGACCAGAACATGGTATGTCTGCCAGTTTGTTAATCTGGCAAATAAACACTTACTGACGAGATCATCCACTCTGTGAGATTTATGGCAGTAAGACACAGTGCCTGCTGAGCTGGTAGGCTAACAAGACTCGTAATGAGGACAAAAACTACAAAGTGGTCAGTGTTACAATGAAAAATGTCCTGGGTATTTGGGGAGTAGAACAGAAAGCAACTATGGGCCTCCTTGGTAAGGCTTTAGAAAGGTCCCTGTGGCAGGAGGAATTATTCAGCCTGTTATTGGGCTTGTGTTAATGTATCTATGGGCAGTAGTTCTTGTGGGCTATCACAAAATTTAAAACAAGTTAGAAGTTGTTCCGGTTCATTAACGTATTTATTTACTGTAGTGTTGAGCTGTGGAAAGGTTGGCTTGGTGGGAGTGAACAGTGTAAGCAAGGACACATGACGGTTGACCTTACTTGAGTGGTGGTTCTGTTGCCTAAAAGTGACTCTCAGAAGTTTGGTTTCAGGGCTAGCTAGTGTCATTGCTATCACCTGGCAATGTGTTAGAAATAAAAACTGTTTCCACCCAGGTTTGGGTGGAGAACTGGAGATATGACCCAACCAACAAACTAAACTAGTTTGACGTGGAAATTCTGAGATGTAAGAAAATTACTAAAATTCTCTGGCCCTTTAGTTTGCCCCAAGTGAGCGATCCCTGGACTACCTCTTTAGTTGTAAGGTTTGAATTACATGGTAATGTGAAAGAGTCTGAAGGTTTGGTATCTCCCAAGGTGTAAACTAATGAATGAGTTGGGTGAAGGGGTATGATGCTGTAAAGCTTAGTAGTTTTATAGACCTAAATGTTTTCCCAACACTTAAGGTAGCTAGGACCCTAGGTGCCCCAGTTTGTTTTATTGTTTTAGCCTTCTGAGGTGATGGTTTGTTTTGGCTTTTTTGAGATGGTCTTGCTATGTGGCCCAGGCTGGCCTCGAACTGTGGCAATCCTCTTGCCTCAGTCTTGTGGGTGTTGGGATTGCAGATACGTGCCACCATACCTGGTTTTCTGAGGTGATTCTAATAGGCAGCTAAGGTTAGGAAACATTTGGTTAGAAGGAATTTTGCATCAGTTCCCTGAGGAAATTAGTTTAAATTTGAGTATGAGAGGAACAGGATAGCCGGGCGTGGTGGCGCATGCCTGTAATCCCAGCATTTGGGAGGCTGAGGCAGGAGGATCATTGCAAGTTCGAGACCACCCTAGGCTACAAAGTTGAGTTCAAGGCCAGCCTGAACTGCAGAGTGAGACCCTGTCTCAAAAAGATTTCAAAAAAGAGGGGAATAGGAGAGAATTGCCATGTCTTGAGCAAAACTCTGATCGAGTTTGTACTCTTTAAGGGGCCACTGAAAACAGTGAAGACCAGCTCTTAGTTTTGTTTACTTGGTGGGGTGGATAAAGCCTGTCTGGTATTAACACAGGTGGATTTCTTATTCTTCCAAAGGGCCTGCTATGGTGTGCTGCGGTTCATCATGGAGAGCGGAGCCAAGGGCTGTGAGGTCGTGGTGTCTGGGAAACTCCGAGGACAGAGGGCTAAGTCCATGAAGTTCGTGGATGGCCTGATGATCCACAGTGGGGACCCTGTCAACTACTACGTAGACACCGCTGTGCGCCATGTACTGCTCAGACAGGGTGAGCATCTGGGCATGCTTGGGGTAGGGGCATTAGCAGGTAGCTGTGATTTTCCACAGGTGCATCAGTGTTTGGAGAAATACACCTTAGAAGTAGCTGAGCCTGTTTGCACTCCTTGGGTGTATTGATTGGGCTGCATGTTCTAGAAGAGTTGTGCTGCTGGGATGGATGGATGGATGGATGGATGGATGGATGGATGGATTGATGGATGGATGGTTGAATGGTTGGATGGATCGTTGGTTTGCCCTTGTCTTAGCCATCTATGTACCCTTCGGTGATGACACGATGACGAGTCAGAAAGGTCACATCCTGCTCTTGGTCCACGTCAGTGCCATGTTCTGTGGTGCTGTGTGGGTTCCTTTTGCAAACGTGTCCTGCTTATTGATTGATTTAGAGGCATTTGTCTGAGAAGGGACCGGATCCAGCAGCACTCTAGTATACAACTCTTCTCTTACTGTGTGTAGTGGCTGGTAAAACCCCAGCTATGGCTTAATTGTCTTCTAGGTGTGCTGGGTATCAAAGTAAAGATCATGCTGCCCTGGGATCCAAGTGGTAAGATTGGCCCCAAGAAGCCTCTGCCTGACCACGTGAGCATTGTGGAACCCAAAGATGAGATCCTGCCCACCACTCCCATCTCAGAACAGAAGGGTGGGAAACCAGAGCCGCCTGCCATGCCCCAGCCGGTCCCTACAGCATAAAGGTTCGTCTACAGGGGCCTCTTCCTTTTACTTTGTTAATGTTGGATTCCACTTGCTTTACATGGCAGAATGCAAGTGGAAGTGTAGGGCCTATGAATTTGTTGGAATGGGTGTTTGCCTTTGTTCCATCGTTAGGTCCTTTTTTTAAAAAAGGTCCTTTTACTGTTCAAATTCATTTACCTTTGTTGCCCTTCCTTAATGGCTCAAACGTTTCAGGTTACTCTAGTAATTATTCTGTCCTCTTGTAGCTCCCTTGAAACAGTAACACCAAGCCTCTTGTGCCCAGCACATCTGAGGTGGGTGGGTTGTTTCTTGGTGCTCTGTTGTGTTTTGTTAATCTTGAACAGATCCCAAGAGGGAGTGTGTTCATACCATTTGTTACATGAAGGAACTTGACACTCAGGGGAGTTTGTCTTACTATTGTGTTTTATTTGGTTTCAGGGTGTCCCTGGCAGCAGTATCTGAAAACGGAGGCTGCTGCGTGAAGACATTTAATAAATCTTGCACAAAGACTTAAGTTATATGGACTGTCTGGTGTTGAGACTGTGTTCTGTTGGCTTTGGCAGCGTTACTTAGCGTCTTTAAGATATATTTGTGGTGTTTGCAAGGGGCAGAATTGGAGGGCCCAAGCAGAGCAAACCAAAACTACTTGTGGGACAGTGAAGGCTGATGGTAAGGCAGTACCTCAGTTAATTGCCTTGAAGTTTAGGATTGTAGGTTTAGAAGAGGGCTTTGGTTTTGTGTTTTGGTTTTGGGGTTTTTTGGGTTTTTTCTTTTGAGACAGGGTCTCGCTATGCAGTTCAGGCTGGCCTTGAGCTCCCTTTGTAGCCCAGGCTGGCCTCAAACTCGCAACGCTCCTTCTGCCTCAGCCTCCCAAGTTCTAGGATTACAGGCGTGCGCCACTGTGCCCGGCTGTGAGCACTTTGGTTGTAGTGGCTGAGAATTGAGCCCAGGCCTCTGCATTGAGCTGCAGTCCCAGCCTGGGGAGGGATATGTTTAAGGTTTTTTTTTTAATCCTTGGTGTCCCTGAAGTATAAAGGGAATTTGCCTGTGCCATTGTGCTTAAAGTTCAAAAGTAAATTTGTTTAAGTAGTATAAAGTTGTCATTAAGGGCTGGGGATATAGCTCAGTGGCATGAGCGCCAGCCTAACAAGTGCAAGGTCCTGATTTTGATGCCCAGTACCCAAAAACAACGAAGTCGTCATTAGAACCTACGTTCCTAAGTCCTATACTCTTAGCCATTATGCTTAGGAAAACTTTACACCATGTAAATCACCTAGTGGTAGTGCATGCCTGTAATCCTAGAACTCAGGAGGCTGAGGCAGGAGGATCCCTACAAGTTCAAGGCCAGCCTGAACGATAAGAATCCATTGCAAGAATGTGTAAATTGTCTTTTTTTTTCCTGCTGTGGTAGTTTGAAGTATTTGCTACCAAGACATGTATTTTGTAAGAAATTGGATGCTCTTAATTTATGCAAATGGAACCAGTGAAGGACAAATTGGCTTGAAAATTTTACAAGGCTGATGATAAAACATTCTGATTGGTCACAAAGAAAGAACTTGCTAAGGAAAGTACTCATGGACCTGGCACACCAAGGAGTGGCTGCACTACCTAGTGGTGATCTGATTGTCTCAACTAGACTGATCCATACCAGGATAAACTCTGCACATTGTGTTTGTACTGTTCTGCACATGATAAGGGGCTTAATATATGAGAATAAGTTATGTTGGGAACTCACTGCAGAAGCATCCATGCTTTCCCATTTACCTGTATAGTAAATGCAGCACAAAGTTTACTATCTTGGCCATTTTAAGGGTGTACTTCTACAGTGTTAACACATTTATTGTGTAGTAGAGCTCTAGCACTAACCTTGCTCCTTTTTTGAAATGCTTTCACATCTGTACAGGCTTAACCTTTTGGCAAGGGATTTGTTCTACACTCCTGAGTATACCAGAGTCCTCAGATGTCTCAGATTTCATAAGGGGGCATATATTTGCACATAAGTTAGACACATCCTCCCATGCAGTTAAAATTATCTCTATATAGTCAGTACCAATCCAAACTGAAAACTATGCTGGAGGTTGAGACAGGAGGATTGCAAGTTTGAGATCAGTGTAGGCTAGTTCAGGAGCAGCCTGGATTACATAAGACCCTCTCAAAAGCTGGGCAGGGTGCTATGCAGTGTGATGCCAGCACTCTGGGTGATTGAGGCAAGAGGATCACAGGTTTGAGCCCAGTGTGGCAATTTGGCCAGTCTGTCTCAAAGACCTGGGAATGTACCAGTGCAGAGGCTCTCAATTCAATTCTTGGTTCCAAAAAACAAATTTGCATCTGTGGCTGGTTGAATCCGTAGCACCTACAGATGGGAAGAATAATGGACTCTGATACCTAAATTTTCTAACTACTGATATATTTAATACTAGTGACCTGTTTCTGGGCTCAGTGTGAGTTACTTCATATATAGTACCTTGTGGCTAGGTATTAAAGCCTGAAAATGTAAAAATTACGTGCTTTATCTAGTTTGCTTCTAACTGAGTGAACTCTGGGAAGGCTTGAGGATAAGCTGACAGGTGACTGTGTGGTGTTTGGCCTCAACAGCTACACGTGCAAAGTGAATGACTGGTTCCTGTGTCTATTCTCAGATGTGTTTTTGTGGTGCTGGGTGGTGCGCCTGCTGGTTAGTACTCTACCACTGAGAAACATCTGCAGCCCTTGGTTTTAAAGTTTTTTTTTCATTTTCAGTCAAGGTCTTGCTAAACTGCCCAGGATGTTTTCTTGCCTGGTCTCCTAAATAGTGGAATTACAGGTGTGCTCCCCAGTGCCTGGCTTAATCCCAGATACTTCTAAACTTGCTACAGTATACAGTCGTTTGCTTGAAACAGGACTTTATTTATCCCCAGTTCTGGGGGTTAAACCCAGAGCCTACTGCTGAGCTACATCAGCCAAGACAGGATTATGTGTACCGAAACTGGTTAAAACTGATTGGAGCAAGTTGAGGTCATCTCAACTATCAGACTCTTAAGAGTTAGTTACACGTCTTCATTATATGTACGTTCTGATCATTAGGATTTGCAGCAGTTGCTGACAAATTGGGATCTTAGGGCTGGGTGAGGTGGCACATACCTGTAACCCCACCACTTGGGAGGTTGAGGCAGGAGTATCTTCAAGCATTTGAGGCCAGTCTGAAGTACATAGCAAGACCCTGTCTGAAAAAATTGCTATCTCAGGAGCTGGGAGCTGATCAGCTTGCTTATCTGGCAAGGAGAAAACATCTAGAAGAGTGAGATGTTGGCCAAAGACCCACAGAACAGGAGAGGATTGGGAAACAAAAAGCACCATCTGTACAGAAAGCCGGCTGAATGAAGCATAGAATTGTGGGGGAAAGGTTTGGGAAGGGCCTGTCCCCAGATAAGAATCTAGATTTAACATACATTGTACAGAGGCCAGTGGAACAGTGATAGTCTGTGGAGCCTGTTGCCCGCCTGTGATCTCAACTCCAGTGGAATGTACAAAGAATTCAGCCACAGACCCCACCTCACCACCTACATTCAGCCATTGTACACGTCTAGCAGGGCAGTGAGGCAGAGGCCACGAGGATGGTAGAACTGTAGTGAAGAGGGGATACCTTTCTCTGCAGCATCCTTTATTACTCATCAATAATGAGTACCATCAGGTTCTGTGGTGCTGATTTCTACAGTCTACACACTTGACAGCCCAGGTCAAGCTGGTCCATATCGCTTCCAGCTCTGCCTCCTTAATGAGGGATCCACACACAGGCAGAATCTGATGACTTGCCTGCCGCTGAACAGAAGCCTCACCAATAACACAACATCCCATTTTGCCTCATAACTTGTGTTACATGAATTACATAAGGTGAAAAGCATACCTGAACTGGGAGAGATCACTTTGTACTACAATAAAGCAATTACTGGAGAAGCCAAGGTTTTGTCAGAAATCCCAGGGCCTTTGCCCTGCGCTACATCCCCAGCCGTTTTTGAGACAGCCTCAGTGAGTGCTCAGATGGCCAGGTTGGGCTTAAATTTGTGATCTTTCTGCCTCAGCCTCCCACAGTGCTGGGACTACAGGTTTGTGCCACCAGGACCAGCAGTAGTTAAGATTTAATGCTGTGTTTTTAGATTTGTATTTGTCTGTATTGAATGGGCCCTATATAGTCTGAAGTTCTTGTAAGTTTTGATAATTTTTAACTATATTATTGGTAGTAAGTAGATCCCATTTTATGTATTCATGGCATACCTGTTCTGTATTCCTAGGCTATACAGTTCATTTGTGAGTTTTTTTAAATTGTCAAACTTTTTCTTAAAAAATCCATGTATAAGCGTTCTCATGCAGTTCAAACCTAGGTTTAGGTCAGCTGTATGTGAGCATCTCTTGGATACCATTAATAGCCAGCCTCAAGATAATGGATTCTGTAGGGGCCCTGGCCAAGAGCTCTGCATTCTGCTTCTACTGGGAGGTAGACAAATATTTGGCCTTTTATTGAGCCGTATTCCAACTTCTATCTAGTCACTGTTCTGGGCTCCAGTATTGGCTCTCTCTATATTTTAAGGTAGAGCCTGCCATTGTCAGCAGAAAAACATGGAGGATCAACATTTTCAACCTTAAAGATTATGTTTCTTACTATTTTCTCCTCTGGGATGTATTTTGATACTGCTTTATCTACTAAACTTTTCTGTTACTAATCAAAGCTACATTTCTGACATACACCCTGAACTGCTGTAGGGCAAATTCCACTACTAGCCACAATTGACAGCAGTCTACCTGGGGAATAGTACACTACTTGAAGACACTTGCTTCTAATTTGCGAACAAGTAACATGAGTACTGATTCCAGTCCCAAGTTCTGAAATTCAAATGAAATCACTGTTGTGTTGATCCGTCCCCATTTATACTATCAACTCAGCTTACCAGATGCAGCTGGCACCATGTCAGAAGTGGCACTGCGGTAGATCATCCTGCCCTCTCTGCTGGCTCATCCACTACCCCTGTGAACGTGCGCCTGCAGCCCTTTGTGTGGTGAGCCTGAGGAGCTGGGTTCTTTAGATGCAAAAGTGCCTGGAGGGCGGAGCTTCCCTGATCTTCAAGAGTGTTTCTGCTTTTCAAAGGGAAGGGAAGGGAGAGTGTAGGCACAGCAGTAGGCCTGCTTTCCTGTTAGGGTCCAGAGGAGATGCATTTTTCAGGTTTTTTTCCCTTGACATACTAGGAAAACATTCACCAAGAGTCACTGTTTGGAAACAGTGGACACCCCCTTTTATGTTTGAATCATTTTATGGTTAATTTACGGAGCTAAGAATAAAGTGGTAGTGAAAAACAATTAGAAATTTGAGCACAAGTATTCAGAAGTATTCAAATAAATATTCAGATTTTAATAAGTATTAATCACATAATTGAACATACTAAAAACTACAGAATTTGCCTTTTAAATGGGTGAATTTTATCTCCATAAAGTTGTCAATCTAGGAAAACGTGTGAATATATAAATTAAAACAAGCAACCCTGAAATATATACCTTGAATGTAATAAAATGCTCAACTGCCATGCACAAAATAGAAACAAACTCATACCTCCTGATTCCAGGTTTCACATACCCGCCTAATAGGCTCCTGCTTATCCCTGCTTCTGTTGTTTTTTTATTCACTTGCATTGTCAACACAATACTTCTGAAAATTTTGATGACTAATTTTATCAAGATGCCAGCTATTTCCTTGACCCCTTAATTATGAATGATTTTAATTTTTAGTTTTACAAAGTAACTACATGACCAATCCATGGACTTGAAATTTCTAGAGTGCGTTTGCCTTCAGTCACCTTCGTGCACAGCTGCCTTCACATGTCCCTTCCTACAAGCTACTGTATGTTGTGCTTGAGCACCGCAGAGATGAGAGAGTATTGTCACACCTTTTAGCAAAACAGGATGATCCAGGTTCTGCTTCTGTGACTAATTTGGGAGTCCGTGCTCATTTGCTCGCCTAAGGGTGAAATGACCTTCTCTATCAGGTTTTTTTCCTTTGTCATTTTGGGTGGAAAATGAGAAAAATTCTGAGCTGGTATTTCCAGACTTTTGAAAGACGATGCAGTACTTTGGGAAGCACAACAGGGAAACTGAAGAATGATGTAATAGTAGTTTGATGACTGTCTTCCATCTAGGCAACATGGACGTTCTTCCATTTTCTTTTATCTTAGTTTTGTATAGCACAGTTGGAAGATAACTGAAAGGAGGTAATTTTTGGATGGTGTAATAGAAGCTGCTCTAGATGGAGGAAAAGATAGTTGACCAAGAATCTCACAATATGTACTCAACTGTAAAGAAGAATAAAGTATGTCATTTGCAAGAAGAAAAAAAAAAGATCTCACATATGTTTTAGGTTTATGAAATAATCCAGCGAATGCATTGGTAATCACAAGATAGACTGAGTTTCACTCTTTTTAAAGATTCAAGTAGGGCTGGGGATTTAGCTCGGTTGCACAGCGCCTGCCTGGCAAGCGCGAGGTCGTGAGTTCGATTCTTGGTACTGGAAAAAAATAAATAAAAGAGTCAAGTAAATTTTCTCATTGTTCTTTGAAAGACTACTAAGGAAGAATCATAGTCATAGAATAATTCTAAATTCTTAGGAACTAGTCTCAAAACTAGATTAGGTCCAGTGGCTTCTGGTGTTATACCATGAATTAATCCTGTGTTCTCAGCTGGGAAGAGGATGGCAAACCTATGTAGCTAAAGGGTCCTTGCTCAGGGCATGTGGTGTGGCTTCCTGGAGAGTGATACAGCCCTTCCCATTCAGGAGACAGTTTGGGAGTCCAAGGGGCAGTGGACTAGAAGCCAAAGAGACCCTCCACAGATAGTTCCTTTTACCAGTAGTTTTAGGAGATCAGAACACATAGGAATGTTCCTTTTACGTATGTTCCCAGTAAGCTTCCTTCATGAGGATTTTAACACATTCCCGCCAGCTTGAACCACCACTGGTACATACACGACTGTTCCACTGGGTGATTTGAAGTGTCCCATGTTACTCCATGGGACAGTCATGCATGTACTGCGAAACTGCCATACCCTTGTGCCAGGTGAGAGACTTAAGAAATATGGCCCTTTCATGAATGTGTTAAACCATACCTCCCTGCAGCTAGCTGGAGACCTGTAAGGACAGGGATGTAGCTAATGAGGCCAGGATTTTCCATGATGGAAACGAGGGTAGTTTTTATGTAACTGCTGCACTTAACAATCTCATCAGCTTAGCCAAGGCTGGGTGAGGCAAAATAGAAGCTGGAGGCTTTGCAGGTGGTTAGAGCCATGTTTGAATCCTGGCTTATCCACCGCTTATCATCCCAGTGACCTTGTGTGAAGCACTTTCAACTCTTGAGTCTTTTTCCTCATTTGTGTGGGCAGAGGCATATGATAGTAGTGGGCTACCTCACAGGTACTGAGACACAAATCCAGGAAATGTGACTTAGTGCATTCAGTAAGTGGCACTGAGGGACACAGGTAAAGCTGACACCTTTCCTACCTTAGGGGCATCCTGTGAGTGTCAGGGGAGATTACAGGTGTCATACAGAAGCCTCTGGCTATATGCTGGGTGACTAAGATGCAGGGTATTGGGTGTGCCCAGGCAGACAGCAGGAAAAAACAGCATCTGCACGAAAGAGCATTGGGGAATGGATGGTCAGCATAGAGGAAATGCAGTACCCAGCCTGGCACACAGAAGTGTCTAGCCCAGGTGAGATGGCCATGTCCTTGGGAAAAGCTTTCCCTGAATGTGCCCCATCTTTTTCCTGTGTAGGAAAGGAATCTGGCGCCTTCTTTGCTTTGTCCTGAGTCCTAACCCTAACCCATAGGGTGGGATAGGCAGGTTCAGTGGGGTTGGGCCTCACCCCTCCCACTGCTGCCGTTATCAGCTGTGTCCAGATGGTCAGAGGCTCCCTAATCTAGGATAATCGGTGGGTTGTAGCTCAGCTGGGACCTGGGCCTTTGTGCCTGACTGTGATGGGCCAGCCCCAGCTGGAGAGACCACGCAGACAGGGCCCTGGGGGTTGGAAGACGGGGAGGGCCTGGTGCTGGCCCTGGGTTGGAGAGATGCCAGGAACAGATGAGGCTCCTCTTCAAAAGGCAATCTGAGTGCAGATGAGTGGGTGCCTGCAGATGGGCTGGCCAGAGCCTTCGGGGCACAGGCAGACCTAAATAGCTCAACCTCAGAATCTGTGGTGTTTTGTTCCCTTTCTTCTGAACTCACCCCTTCCTATGCAGTTGTCACAGCCCCTAGAGCCCCAGGCTATACCAAATGTTTATAATGGTATCTCTGGCTTTTTTCTCACATGGATGTTTGAGATCTGGCAGGTCTAGGTACACAGCCAGGGTAGCTGGGTTCTTGGAGGCTTATAGCTCTGTCACACTCCACCCTGCATGAAACACTTCAGTTTTTAAAAGAAGGTGTCCGTATTGCTATTATGAAAGTAAATGAGGTAATGAGTGTGCTATGGCTGAATGTCAGTATTCCTCCAGGATTTATATGTTGAACCTAACACATAATGTGGTAGTATAAAGAGGTGGGGCCTTTGGGAGGAAGTGATTAAGTCATTTCAGAAATGAGGGCAGAGTCCTCATAAATAGGATTTATACTCTTACCAGAGGTCGAAGGGAGCTGTTTTGCCCCTTCTGCCAGGTGAGGACACAGCAAGAAAGTGCTGACTACGAAGCAGTGCTCTTACACGCTGATCTGGGACTGCCAAGCCTCAAGAATTATAAAAAATAAATTTCTGTTGTTCATAAATGACTCAGTCTATGGTATTTTGTTACAGCAGCCTGCAGAGACTAATATGGTAGGAAAGTACTCTGTGAACATTAAAAGCTGCGAGCAGATAATGAGGATTGCTTCTCCAGGCAAAGTGGGCTTAAGCTGGAACACAGACCCAAAGTTTGAGCAAGGTTTTATTTCTACAAGAAAAGCGGGCAATAAGTTAAGGGGCTATTTGCATGGAGGGGACAGGAGGAGGGGAACAGAATGGTGTGCATGGGTTCTTCCTACCTCCTGGCTCTGGCTGTCCCTGTCTTAGTCACCTGCTCAGGCTCTGGATGATGGTGACACAGCCATGGGAACTGGTGCAGCGCTGCAGGGATGGCTGGGCCTCCAGCTGCCCACTGCTGGGGTCAAAGGTGAAGACCTTATTGGTGCTTTCCCCATGATCATCCCGCCCGCCAAGGATGTGGACCTTGCCGTCACACACAGTCATTCCGCAGCTCTCCTGGGGGGACAAACAGAAAGGCACATCAACTCTGTGGTCCAGTTTGAGCCCTAGCTGGCCAATCAGATAGTAGAACCTCATCTTGTAGACTATACACAGGCAGTCTGGATGCAGGGAGGCAGAGACTGAATAGACCTGAGGTTAAACTCTGGCTTGAGCCTTAATAAATGAACAGATCACCTTCATTTATGTGCTCTGAGCCTTAAGTTTCCTCATCTGCAAAGTATGAAGGATAACAATACCTTCTTCACAGAGTTCTCATCACAGTTGATGGGGTTAAGTATATAAAATATACACAGTACCTGAAACAGACTACACTTGGTCTTAGCTAAAAGGCTGAATCTATAATGCCTGGAGTGTTGTCAGGATACAGTTAACAATAATGATCGCTGCCACCACCATCTTAGGATCTCAGACTCAAAAGCCAGAAATCTCAGGCCTTTAGGATCATGGGACCGCAGAACTGGCAGGGACCTCCAGTCCAACCACATCTCTGCCTTGTCTCTCTGGAGTCAGGGAAGGGAATGAAAGGAACTGTAGGAGCCAGAGAGTCAAGAACCTGGGCTCACTGGGCTTCCCTCATTCGATGGGGCTGAGAAATTTATCAAGGCCCCTCCCCACCACCTACTGCACAGCAGGCTACCAGATGGTGGCCTTTAGGGAAGGGGAAACTGCAAAACCCCACTCAAGAGTACAGCACTTGGGATTCTAAATTGTGCCTTAATATGGCCTAACTGGTAGCCTTGCGCCAACCTTTCTAAGGCCAGGCATCATTGAGGACAAGCTAGAGAACTATGTAAAATCTGCCAGCACTGAGTCATTATGCAAGACCTACTGCCTCCAAGATCCAGGGCCTTAGAGTGGGTTTGCTGTCCTGAGTGGACCAGTGCCAGGGCTGTGCCCTGAGCCTCCACTTACCACAGGGCTGGGGAGGACCGCTGCCTCCCCCCAGACATCTGTGCCAGGGTCATAGGTGAAGATTTTGTTCATGAGGCCCCCCACCACATAGATGGTGTCCTCCAGGGAGACAGCCTCAAGACACCGCTGCGAGAAGGGCGCTGGTGAACGCAGGCTCCACTGGTCCTCCTTGGGGTCAAAGCACTGTACCTGGGGGTCAGAAGGCAGTGGTGGTGAAGCCTGATCCCCAGCTGGCCCGCTGCCATGTCCTGCTACCTCTTTCTTGTGGGACATCCAACACCACCAGTGTCTACCAGGCCTGAGCTAGCGTCTGGGAGGAAGAGGAGACCCACTGTCCCTGCCCTGAGGTGCTCTCAGCCTAGTTCTGTTTTTGTCTCCAGCCTCTAGATGCTCTTTGTAAAAAGCCTCCTCATTTTTCAAGGTCCAGCTCAAATACTGCCCCATCTTTAAGCCTTTCTTGATGTTTCCACACCTCCCACTCCACTGCAAGAACAGTCTGTCCTTTGATGGAGGACCACAGTGTCACCTCATGAAGTTAATCATCGGAGCACATCATAGCAATCTGGGAGAGAGATGTGATCTGGGACATGGAGGTACTGTCTGGATGTCCCCCACCAAGGCGCATTCCTGGCTGCCTGCAGTGTCAGTGCTCTTCTCTGTTGCTGCTGTAGGGTTACGACTCCATTCCAGCTGAGATGTAGAGTTACTACAGCTGTCCACAGGCCTCTGGGTTCATGCGTATCTATGATGCCCTGAACCCTTTCTGAGGATGCTTGCCTTGCTTGGCTGCCTGCTCACCTTTGCTCCCTGCTTCAGTTATTTCCTTGGAGAGACACACACACACACACAC